TAACATATTAAATACCATATTTGTTATCTCCTGTTTACCCACCAGTTTATAAAACGCTAGTTCTCCATTTCAAAAATGATTATGCTACATGTACTGAATCTTTTACACCCCACTCACATTACGAGGTGGGGACCACAAGCCGAAATTTTTAAATACACATAGGGCCCGCGAGCATTGTGAGAGGGGGGACGCCAATCGGTACCCTCCCAATTCGGTACATTTAGAATAATTCTTTCAAAAATTGTTTCGAAAATCAGAGCTCTTCAAAAACTAAGAAATATTTTTAAAAAATCAAAAAGTTTTTATAGTTTTTTTTTCCAACTAAAATTACCTCTTGAATACCTAAGGTTAAATACTTTTTCTTAAACTAAACAATGAATTTATAAATTTAAATTATAATTGGTAGTACCATGTTAATGTAGTCGGGGGCGGAGCCCATTAGGATCCTAGGCACAAGCCTAGAGCGAACTTCTAGGCCCAACCCAATCAATTTTTGGCCTTTTTTTAGCCATTCACCGGCCCAGCCTAGCCTAAATGAAACCTAAATCCAATCCAATATCCTCTCAAATCTCATCCATTCGACTTTGAATTTCTCTCTCAACCTCTCAAAGACACAGATACATTAATCCTAAAATAAAGATGAGTTAGATAACTTTATTTTGTTTTCAATTACTTGATTGGGCTTGACTTGATCATTCTTAATAGCAATAATGTTGGTGATCAGTACATGAATGATAACACAATTGTTTTATATTTTTTGAGATTGATAATGAAATTATTGTACAACAATATTAAATTACGAAAATTTGCAAAGAATAAGTGTAATATTATTTTTTATTTTTATCATCATTAAATCCATGGCAAAAAAAATTAACGTTCGACGTTGATTAAATTGTAATTACACTGAACAATATTCTTGGCTCTGTCCCTGTATATTACACTTTATATCCTATTTTTTCAGAAGTAACATTTTCACGCGTTGTGTTGTGTCGTGTCACATTTATCATTTACATTTCCTTTTCTACGCAACTAAGTTTAACGTGCAAATCACATGATGTAAAAATGTTAATTAAATATCATATATTGTATTTAACATTTTTTTTAGAAAATGATATTCACATCTTGTTTATCTTTCAGCTAGGCTCCTTTATACAAAGAGATTGCTCTTTTATTAATTAATAGCTAACCAAATTTAGATTTTGTATTTATATTTATATTAAATATTAATGAAGACAAACAAATTCATATATATATTTTTTTAAAAAAATTGTGCGCTAATAATGCAAATTATCTCCTCAATATCTAGCAGAAAAAGAATAAATAAAATATATCATCAAACGCATAATTTAACACTTTCTCAATCCAGTGCAAATATGTTTCCATATAACATCAAATTCTAATGGCAACTCTATGTACAACGCCTCGAGAAGGTTGGTAGGTCGAGTAGCACGTAAAGTGCGATCAGTAGTGACTAAGGACATATAATTCAATTATTCAAATGATTTAATCAAATTAATTATGGTATTTACAATTGGGTCTTGCAAACTTGTTACTTATTGATCGAATTATTAGGTTAGGTCAGGGTGAATAGATTGTAAAAAGTAAAAGACTTATAAAAGGGACAAATTTGGTTCTAAAGTTAGATATCCACCTTTTCGATTCAAGAACTAGAATCGTCGGGCTCGATCAGTTCTCGATATCTGTTCCTTCTTTTTATTTTTTGGAATCGAACCAGAAAAAATTCAATTCGAATTAAAATGTTCACCCTTATTTCAGATTACATAGTATTAAAAAGTTATTACACAAATATCGAAACACTTTATCTACTAAGAAAAATTCCTTAAGTACAAGAATTTTTGCCAAAATTTTGAAATGAATGAATCATGTCCATGTGTGTATTTTTTCCCTCCTCCAATCTTTCAATTATATCCATTCATTTCAAATTCCTGAATGTTTTCTGTTAAAAAACATTGTACTCATANTTTCCCTCCTCCAATCTTTCAATCCTTTCCATTCATTTCAAATTCCAATATGTTTTCTGTTAAAAAATCTTGTACTCATAGCAGTGCTCATCTACTAATACCTAGTAGATATAATGAAGGTCTATACAAAAAAAATAAAAAAATAGACCAGTACTTGCACACCAAACTAGGGTATTCTAATATACAACACCGACGGAGTTGTTGCAAACACAACTGCAACAATCCAAGTTTTATATTCATTCAAGTCACTCCCAAAACCATAACAAATCATAGTTACAGTAAAGTCCAATTCGAGAAATGATCTCATACACTATATCATATTATTTTAAATCATAACCAACAAATATAATAATAATTGACACAAAAAAATTAATGTCTTAAATAATGAATTAAAAGTCCTGATGAATAAAACTAAATATAATGCTTAAATTAAAGGTGTTCGTTACGTTACACCAAATTTAATTTCTTGAATCCAATGAAACCTGACACCACGACTGCACATCATCGCACGCCAACCAAACAAGTCGTTTTAACCTGTGAGGAGTAGGGAAAATGGTGAGTATATAGAAATATTCAATAGGATACGAAAAGATTGTGCAATCCCGAATAAAATATTCAAATCATGCGTCAAAAATATCATACCGTCATATCATATAAAATCGATAAGAACTCATAACATATCATATCTTTGGTACCGGATGACCATTTCATATCATAACTTTCATTAGCATAATATTTATCAACGTGAAAATAAATAATTAAAACGAAATAATATCACTTGCACCTTGTAATCCTACCTTGATATATAAAAATGATTGTTGGAAGAAAAACAGGAAATTCACGTTTTCAAAACATTTCTCTGTTGCTGTATCTAAGTATGTGTTCCGGTAAATAAAAAAAGAAAATATCATTAGTCTATTATTCTCAAATCTCAACTTAGGACATCTTGTTTAAGGTATACTATGATCATTCCACGTGAGATACACGTGTGAACCATCCATAACTCTTCTATCACAATATTCGGACACGGGTTTGCCTATATAATGGCCGCCTAAAGTTGCTCATTGTTTCAATTTTATAAGGAAAATTCTATTTATACAACCGAGGTTGACAACCTCTCACATGTGTGCAGGCTCCACCATGTGAGTGGTTGTCAACCGAGATTGTCAGTCTTGTTTGTACAACTAACATGACTCATTTTATAATGCATGTGTTTGTCAACTAATAAAAATTTCACACTCAAAAGAGGCAATTTACCAATTTTCAATTCAACGACGGCTGACATATAACACCCATTTTTTGGAGAATGAAATTTTTGAAATAGTGATTGATGTGAGAATATGTGGTAGAAAAGTTTTAGATTTGTGCGTAATATTATTTTATTTGAAAAATGTATAGTTGAAACGAAAAAAGAAAAAAAAAAAATCAAGAATAAGAGGAGAATGTGAGCCAAACAAGGGATAGTACAAAGTCATAATTGTCGGTAACATGCAAGGAAATTTCTCAAAATATAATAATTATTCAATCCTTTTAAAAAAATTATTTTATCTTTCCAATGCAAATAAATAACCCTTTTTTTTTACTCCAAACAAACCAACACGTGCATGGCCACTTTCACAAGTCAAAAATTAAGAACCATATTCTCTACTATAAAGTCTACACGTGTCAACAAATCATACAACTCAAAATTTAAAATAAAACACCCCATACACGTGGCACAATCTCCATTTTCCATTCAAGTTTTTAATTTATTTGATAAACTAGTTTAAACAACTTCTTCGAACTGAAATATTTTAAGGCTAACTTATCAGAATCAACTTTTTCTCGAGCTTAATATACACAATTAATTATGATCTATCCAACGAGCCCAATATCCATATTGTAAGGTGTTTGATAAAAAGATAATGTAAATTCTGCCACTTTTCTATGAAAAAATGACGTTTTGTCACTTTTCTATGAAAAAGTGACTTCTGTCACTTTTCTCAAAAAGAGCCACAATATATCCTTGAAGCAATTAACTAGATGCATACATATGCATTTTTGAAATTTTGAACATACCAATTCAAGTCCCGGTTTATGATAATATATATGAAAAAGAAAATTTTGAATCAAAAACATCTAAAAAAAGTACTGGACCTAATTTTCCCATTGTCGAGTGAGAATGAAAAAATATAGCTGTTATTAAGCCCCACACAAGATATGGAAATTCAAAATTTATGGTTTGATATGATGGATAACGGTCATATTTTTCATTTTTATGAATAAAAAATGAAAAACAAACGGGAGCTTAGGGTTGTTTGGCTAACCTTTTGAAAAATCAAAAATTATTTTTCAAACAAAAAAATTGCTTTTAAATATATTTGAATTATAGCATTTTGTTTGCTAAAAGAGCTTTTAGAAGAAATTAGAATAAAGTAGCTTCTTTGAAAAACTATTTCTACAAAAATCAAGCTCTTGCCAAACTGATCCTTAGAAAAAGCTTTACCCTTCGTTCCCAACTAGATTGCCACCGGCACCCGTATGCTCTTCCCCCTTGTATTTCTGAAACAAAATTATACGGAAATCTGTGTAGACTGCGACTCTCTATAGAAAGAATTTGAGAATCAGCATTCGTTTTCTTTTCAAAAATGGCTTCTTTTTCTGTTTCTATCAATCATTCTCTTCCTTTTCCACTGTATGCTCAAACCCCAAAACTCACATTATGCCAAAATCTTTCACCCCTTTCTAAATCTTCTCCGTCTCAATTTTATGGTCTGAAGCTGTCTCCTTCATCTTATCTCCCACTCCCAGTTTCTTCTCTGATCAAAAGGTCCATTGTTGCTAAGGTACATTTTCTTAAAATTTTGCACCCCACCCTTGTTCTTCTTCAAGGTAATAGATTCCAATTTCCTGCAAGTAATTTTCAAGAAAAATAAAAAAAATAAAAATCTGTTCTTGTTAATTTTTCAAGTAATTTTCAGTTCATCGTTTTTTTTTTTTTTACTTTGAAGGTGTCAGAAGGTTCGGTTCCACCACCATTTACATTGAAAGATCAGGATGGGAGGAATATAAGCCTTTCTAACTTCAAAGGCAAGCCTGTGGTGGTTTACTTCTACCCTTCTGACGAAACTCCTGGTTGCACTAAACAGGTACATTTTTTCATTTATTGTTAAAAAAAATTGTAATTTTGACTAAAACACAATCATTGGGCTTTACATGAAAATGATCTATGCAGCATACAAATTGGCATAAGTTTTTGCACCATTTCCGATGGCATTTCCGAGTTTTCTTTATCAGAAATTGATTAGGCATTCATCTAATTTCTTCATATTTTTCGTGTCAGAAATGCCTCTGATGTTTAAAAAAGAAACAAACTATGGGGATAGGAAATTCATGAAGCTTGATGAAACAGACCTTTACATTATTAGTCTTTCGGAAATTGTATCGAGTTTTGTCATAGATAATATATGTGGAACACTGACATCTGCATAAGATTAAGACTTTGAGAAGAATTGTGGTGCTAATGAATGTTTTCGCACTGTTATCAGGCTTGTGCCTTCAGGGACTCTTATGAAAAATTTAAGAAATTTGGAGCTGACGTTGTCGGGATAAGTGGGGATGATACAGCATCCCTCAAGGTACTGGAGAATCCTTTGTTATCTGCAGTTCTAATTCTCTTTTTCTAATCTAAAATCTAAAGCAATTTGTACGTGTGTTTTCATATTCTGAGTATCTTAATCACCAGATAAGTGGTTAATAAATGACTCTTGATTTTCAGCTACTAAAACTTGGTTATAGAAAATATATGTTTCCTTTCTCTATTAAACACCATCTAAACCTAGATGGGAGTTTTATGTCTCCACCTAGACCTGGGGGTGGAGTTTGGCAATACTCCTAAATCCTACCACATCTATTGATATAATTTGACGTGCAAATAGGAGGGGATGTTCCTGACTGGCCCCCAAAACTACATTTGGTACGAGTAATATAGACTTAGAAAAGCTAAATGTGGAGGGACTCCCTCCATTAAATGAATAAATTAGAACTTGCAACCGGTGTTACCAAGAATGGCATTTAGCTTTCCTACAATATTATTTGGTAAGATTTCTACCAAATGTTGAGTTTGGATACCTTCATTGGCTAAGGAAATCAGCAGCCATATTTGCCTTGTGCAATACATGGGAGAAACGCACAGGAAAAAACTTCAATAAATCCTATATCCTACTCTTTTTAGCTCTTTGTGATGAATTCCAATGCCATAATCAAGTCCATTTCTATCCAGAGTTGGGAGATATTCCTTTGAGAACAAATTTTAATCCCTGATTTTATTGAACAATGTTCCGCCTCTAAATCTGTTCATACCCCATAAAGTTCATAGAACGCCATCACAAGGTTCCCATTACAATCTCTAATGGTGCCTCTATGCGATGAGCATCCAGGTTCCCCTCACATGTCCCATCCCAATTCAATTTATATTCTCCATGCCTTGGCTTCACCCGAAAAAAAGATTGATTTCTTCTTTATCTTGGTTGCAACCGGAATTCCCATATATCTTCCACCTGCTTGAAAATATGGGTCTTGAAAATATTCTTCTTTCCATATAATAATTACTAGTTAATTTGTTATTGGTCTAGATTACATGAGTTTAATATGTTTATTAATGTATATTAGAATTGGTTTGTCACTTTTGCAACTCCTAATTCCTAATTTACGATATATGCTGGGGTCATTCCAGCGTGTACTTTTGGTTGCTAATGCCATGAACTTTTGTTGCACCATATGCCATTTAAGTGTATTGGCTCGTTAGCGTGTCGTGGTATTTTTCTCAACGGATATTGTGTGTCAAAATTTCCTGCTTTTCTTACTGTTTTGCAAGTAAATTCCTAGTTTAATTTGCTCTTTTACTTTCTTTTGGGTTAATTTGCTCTTTTACTTTCTTTTGGGTTAATTTGCT